TTTTTCACTTGCTTTCATTTTTCTTTTGTTTGAGTCTTCTTGTACAAAATGACTAATTTAGAAATGTTTTACACAATTGTACATGTTTAACCTATATCTGATTACTTATTCTCTCAGGGAGGAGAAGAGGAAGGAGGGAGGAATAGGATTTAATATTTTCTGTCAGAATTGTGTCTTCCAGACTACAGGCCATTAACATACAGGTGGTAGCAAACAGCGAGTACCAGCCAATGTCCCCACATGGTTCCCTGGAAGCCTCCTGTGCTCGATTCCAGTCAACCTCCTCTTTGGGACCCCCTCGACCCAGGGACAGCTCTACACCCCTTGCCAGCAGGAAGCAGTTTCAGAAACCGAGACCTTCTCCCCTTACTCCAAAAGAATTTGGGTCCCATTTGTTTGAGGGGGAAATGATGGGTTGGGATTTGGGCCCCAGAAAGGAAAAACCCTGGACTTTCCCACTTGGTCAGATCTCTGGTGTTTGCTTGAGGCTATAATCCCATCAACTGGCCTTTCATTGTGTCTACACCTAATTTCTCAATTCTGTTAACCTAGCCTGGCCTTCCTTTCTTACCTCCCTATGTATGGTCCCCAGACATTTCCCATCCTTAATCCTAGCCAGGCTCCATTCTCCCTTGGTGAGAGGTCCAGGTCCCAGGTGTTCTGTCCAACCCAGCTTACTGACCACTCCTAGGTCCCTCCCACAGTCTTTCTGTATATAAGGTCCACCTTGTCTCCATTAAGATGCTTAGATTCTTAAAATCTAGCCACTGCTGGGATTCTTATAATCTAGCCACTGCTTACTCATGTTCAGACTCCTTAAGAGTCTGCCCAATATGACAATGTTCTAATAAACCTTGTTTTTGGCTGAAAAATAAAAATAAAAATAAAAATAAAAATAAAAATAAAAATAAACAAAAAGAGTCCATGGGCTTCCCCAGATGGTCAAAGTGATCCATGACAGAAAAAGGTCAAAAATCTCTGATCTAGGGGTTGGGTCCAAGGACAGCATGAATTGTGCTTGAGATAGCACTGAAAAAACAGTGAAGTCATCTGCCCTACTTGGCAAACATTGGGCCAAGACTGTGCCCGGGATTGTTGTATAGCCCGGGACTATATTCCTTAGCACACCCTCTGCCTCCTGACCACCACACTTACATTCATACTTATGGCATGGATATGGCTTTCCTCTATTCTTCTTGTACTCCTATCCTTTTCACCATATGACCACACACATGCATGCATGCACACATGCACATGTTTTCTTTTCATAGCCCAGAAAGCTCTTGCTCAATTCAGAGAGATTTCAACTCCAGGCTGGTTTCCTTTCCTCTTACTGAACACAATCTGAGCAGTGTCCTCTTACCTTTCAGCTGCTGTGCTGCATAGACATGAGCTGGTTTCCATGTTCAGAATGTCCTTCCATTATCTCCTCTCTACTGATGAATCCCAACTCTGTACCTCCAGTACATTTCCAATAAACTATCTATTGAATATCACCCAGGTGTTCTGCCAGCATCTCAAATTCATTGTCTAAACCTATTATATGTCATGGGTCCCTGTGTCCCTGTGGCAGTATGGTGAAGCCTATGAATTCCTTCTTAATATCGTGTTTATAAATGTATAAAATAAAATACATAGGGTTACAAAGAAAAGCAATTATATTAAAATATAGTTATCAAATTATTTTCTTAAATTGAGTTTACAGACTTCAGGTTAAGACTTGCTTATTGTCGCTTAGTCATTTCAGGTGTGTCTGACTTTATTACCCCATTTGAAATTTTCTTGGCAAAAATATGTGAGTGATTTGCCATTTCTTTCTCCAGCTCATTGTACAGATGCAGAAACTGCTAGTCAGTGAACTCATCACCACCACTACCAAATTTCTTCTTTTGACTCTGCTGCCAACTACTTCATTAACCTTCAACTCACCTAGGCTTGGGTCATCTTTAACTTACCCTGCTTTCCTCCTCACATCCAATTAGTCATTACAGCTTTTCACTTCTCTTTTAAATACTTTCTGGTCAACTTCTGGCCAAGATGGCTGCCTGATCAGAGGCAGAAACCTTAGCTGTCAAAACCTACAGTTCATACCAGACTGACTAAAGATCAAGAAATTCAATGAGAAATTACAGAAAGTGACTACTTCCACCCTAAGACTAAAGAGAAAGTCTGGTAGAAGCCAACAGACACTGGGAAAGGCCTGCCAATAAAATCCACACAACCACAGCAACCTCTCAGCATGGGCAGGGATAGGCCAGAAAAATATGTTGTCTATGTTTGGAGGCAACTAGAACAGATGGCCACTCCACAAAGCATTAGATTAGAGAAATGTAAAGTAAAACAACTCTGAGGTACCACCTCACGCCTATCAGATTGGCTAATATGGCAGAAAGGGAAAATGATAAATGTTGGAGAAGATGTCGGAAAATTGGAACACTAATGCATTGTTGGTGGAGTTGTGAACTGATTCAACCATTCTGGAGAACAATTTGGAACTATGCTCAAAGGGCAATCAAACTCTCCATATCCTTTGATCCAGCAATAGCACTGGGTCTGTATGCCAAAGAGATTATAAAAAAGGGAAAAGGACCCACATGTACAAAAATATTTATAGCAGTTCTTTTTGTGGTGGCAAAGAATTGGAAATTGTGGGGATACCCATCAATTGGAGAATGGTTGAACAAGATGCGATATATGAATGTAATGGAATACTATTGTTCTATAAGAAATGAGCGGGCGGACTTCAGAAAAACCTGGAAAGACTTACACGAACTTATGCTGAGCGAAGTGGGCAGAATCAGGAGAACATTGTACACAGTAACAGCAACATTGTGTGATGATCAACTATGAATGACTTAGCTCTTCTCAGCAATACAATGATCCAAGACAACTACAAAAGACTCGTGATGGAAAATGCTATCTACATCCAGAGAAAGAACATGACTAATGTGGAAATATGTTTAACATGATTGTACATGTATAAACTATATCAGATTGCTTGCTGTCTTGGCGGGGGGAAGCAAGGGATGGAGCAGAAAAATTTGGAACTCAAAATCTTACAAAAGATAGAGCTCTGGCCTTGGAGTCAGGAGGACCTGAGTTCAAATCTGGCCTGAGACACTTGACACTTACTAGCTGTGTGACCCTGGGCAAGTCACTTAACCCCTATCACCTCACCAAAAAGGAAAAAAAATAATAATCTTACAAAAATGAATGTTGAAAACTATCTTTATGTGTAACTGGAAAAAAAATACTATTAAGTACAAAAAAAAAATCTTTCAATAAGATCAAGAGCAATGAAAAGATGGCCATTGTCACCAGTGCTATTTGATATAGTTCTTGAAATGCTGGCCATTACAGGAAAAAAAAAAGACAAAGAAATGGAAGGAATCAGCTCAAGCGAAAAATCACCTCTATTTGCAGATAATAACAGCTTCAATGAAAATGTTAATCAAAAAAATTTACAAGTTCAGAAAATTAGCAGGATACTTAGAAAACCCAGTTTCTCTTTATATTAGTGACAAAACCCAGTAGGATACAGAAAAAGAAATTCCATTCAATATAGTTACAAAATGTATATAAAATCTTAGCACCTCCTCAAAAATTCACATGCAGACTTCTTCATAACAAGAAATAATGATAGCACTTAAATTAGATAACAGACTTAATGTCATATCAAACTAACGACATTAAGATTATTTTATAGAATTAGATAGATAACAAAATTCATCTAAAGGAATAAAAGGTCAAGCATCTCAGAGAAAATAATGCAAAAAAATTTTAAAGGAATGAAGGCCTAGCATTACCAGATCTCAAACTACAGTAAACAGCACAAATCAAAATTAACTGGTACAAGTTAAAAAATTGAGGAATTGATCAATGGACTGGGTCAAAAGACCCAGAAATAATCTTACATAGTATTATCAGAGACTCCCTAACTAGCAAAACTGCTGGGAAAACTGGAAAGTAGTTTGATAGATTAGGTTCAGACCACTATCTTTCACCATGTAACACTAGGGATTCAAAATAGACACATGACCTCAATGTAAAATATCACATCATGAAAAATTTAGAGGAAAATGGAAGGAGGTGCTCTGAATAACTATTGCTAGGGAAAGAATTCTTACCTAAATAAGGGAGGAATGTGATCATATAAGATAAAATCGATGATTTCATAAAGTTGAAAAGCTTTTGCATGAAGAAAATCAATACGTTTGGATAAGAATTATAAAAGAAGTTGTTAATTGGGGAAAAACTCTTTCCTACAAATCTGTCTGATCAAGGTCTGATGTCCAAGATATATAGGGAATTGATATAAATATCAATAAGGATTTTTTAAAGTTACATGATAACTTTATTATACATTTAAATTTAAAATATTTTAGACAAATACAAACTAATAAAAGGAAAAAAAAAAACATTGCTACATGCACAGCAGAACATGAGAGGATTCAAAATACAAAGCAATAAATTTCCACTTCAAGGAAGCCTATATTATAAATACTACACATTGTGTTCAAAGCAGTCGATCTTTTCTTGGCTTCCTTGTAGGTTTTCTTTTGTTCTGTTGTGTACTTTTTACTTTATCTCCTTCCTCCACAAGAAGGCTACAATTAAGCATGGATCTATTTATATATCCACATATACGTACACACACACATATATACATATGCACATATACACATACACATGCATAGACATCCATAGTCAAACACATATATACTCATACACACTCATACACTTAAGACCACACTATGCTTATTTCCACTTGTCCTCTATTTCTCTGAAGATGGGTAACACCTTCCTTTATAAGTCCAAGTCTTTCCACCTTTCTCTAAATCCACCAGTTCATCATTTCCATTCCATCATAGCAATATTCCAACCTTATATTGTCATTTTAAATAGTCTAATACAATATTGAATAATACTGGTGACATACAGTGTAATTTCCCTTTTTTTCCTCTTTTCATTAAATCTATTTCAGCTTTAACTTTGTCTGAGATCATGATTATTGGCCTTGTTCGTTTTTTACATAATATATTCTACTCCTGATCTTTATTTTATATTTGTATCCATCATTTATATAAGATTTCCAGAAAATGCTTTTCATATTCTGGGCTGTAATTACTTATTATTTATTTTCTACCTTCCTATATTGCTCACTATCCTTCTCACCCTATTCCTGTCCCTCAATAAATATTTTTTAAGCATTTGCTATGTTCAGGCACTATGTAAGCCATCTGGGGATACAAGTATATCTATAAATGTACACAGCATAAATATTAGGTCACTTACACTCTTTGGAACTCTGTTTCTTCTGTAAAATAAGGGGGTTAGACCAGATGGATTCTGTAGTCCCTTTCAGCGGCTGAACTTACATCGTTTTTCTTCTGTCTTTTTTCCTATTCCAGTCTACCCTTTAGATTCTCATTCTATTACACTTTCCCCACTTCTTTCATTTCTTTTTTTTTAAAGTACCCTTTAGATTTTCTAAGCAATTAATAAGTGCTATATCTATCTAGTTACCTCCCTATCTGCTCTGAAGGACACCTCACACCTGGACCTAACTCAGGACCCCATCTTCCCCACAGTCTGGCTATCTTATAGTTTCCATTGTGAAATTCACAATATATAATCTGCACATTAAAAGTAATACTACTATATATTTTTAAAAAACTTTGACTCCACATTTACATTTTAAACAAGAGACTTCATGCCTATCCCTGCCAATTAATCTCCCCATATTTTTCTTTTTAAAAATTAATTTTTTAAAAGTTCAGAACTTAACATATTAACTTAGTCAAGCTGACAGACAGACAGACACACAACAAGGTGACAAGTTAGGAAAGGAAGGGAAAGGCTGACGATAGGTACACAAGTTTCTCAAGTTCCAGCAGAACTGTTCAAGTACAAAGGGTTTGTTTCCATCTTGCCACTTCCAGGGCGGCCACCTTCTTGGCAGCTGCTGCTCGAGAAGTGGGGGGTGGGGCTAGAGTAGGCTTGCTGTACAAAAATGGAGACAGGGATGAGGCTCTTCACAGTAGGAGCCAAGGTCGGGGGAGAAGGGGTTGGCAAAGGAAGGAAAGGGTTTTGGGGGGGGTAAGGCAGGATGGGTTATTTCTTTTGGTTATGCTGTTTCTGAGCCTTCAGTTGCTGCCTGGGCCCAGGGGTCTTGGATCCTGCACGAAAGGAAAACAAAGGCGTCGATGACTTGAAAGATGGCCCTGCTCCCGCAAAGCTCTGGGCTGATGTAGTTGGGGTCCCAAAGGAAAGGCCACTGTCCACTGTGCCTGCTCCAGGAGCTGGAGCCTTCTGCTCAAAGGTAGGTGTGGAAGTGCCTCCAAACACAGGCTTTTTCTTGGTGGTGTTGGCCAAACTGAAGGCAAAGGGTGTGCTCTGACTTGGGGCACCCAGGGAGTTCTGGTTCAAGGAACCCCCAGAGGGGGTGGTAGTGTTGGCAGCTCCACTTTGGCTTGCTCTGAAGCTGAATGTTACAGTGCTTGAGCTCCCAAATGTGAAAGGGGCCAGGGTCACACTGCTAAACACAGAGCTGCTGGTGCCGCTGCTGGTGGTCTGCGTGGTGGCCCCGAAGCTGGAGGGGGTGGTCATGCCGAAAGAGAAGACTGAATTGGTGCTGCCAAAGGCTGGCTGTGTGCTGGCAGGGGTGACAAAGGAGGTGGGAGGCTTTGTCATGCCAAAGGCCAGCTGGGGAAGGGCCAGGTTTGGGGCTACTGAGCCCCCAAAGCTTAATGTGCTACTGAAGCTTGTGGTGGTCATCACAGCAGTGGTGGTGGTGGCAGTGGCAGCAGGTTTGTTAAACTGGAACATGAAGCCAGTGGATGGGGTGCAGCTGGCACCAGAGGTAGGAGCAACCCCAAAGAGAAAGGGCTGTGATAGGGAGGGGGTGGTGGTGGTAGTGGTGGTGGGAGGGGCACTGGCCACGGTACTGGCCAAGCTGCTCAGCCCAAAGCTAAAAGTAGGCTTGGAGCCCGAGTCAGTGGTTCCACTGGAGGAGGTAGTGGCAGGCGTGGCAGATGCTGCAGGGGACTGGACGCTGCCGAGGATACTAAAGAGGGGTGCCAGGACAGTTGTGGTAACAGCTGTGGTGGAGGCTACAGAAGAAGGTTGTTTCAGGAAAGGAGAAACTGAGTCCAAGGGCACAGATGTGATTGGGTCCATGCTATCAAAGATGGGTTTAAAGGTTGCAGTGGAGGTGGTGGGGGCTGTGGGAAGGACAGAGCTACAAGACACAGGCGCTCTGGCAGAGGGGACAGCTGGCAAAGAAGCCTCGCTCTCCATTTTAGGGGATGCCCCCAAAATGGCTTTGAACATGGAAGTGGAAGGAGGAGAAACTGAAGCAGCCGCTGAAGTGGGAGCAGTGGAAGTCAGAGGAGGGGTGCTCAGCATTCCAAAGAGACTTGGCTTAGGGGAAGTGGTGAGAAGGGGCTTGACGGAGTTGTCTGACACAGGCGCTGGGGAGGCCTGGCTGGTGGTGGTGCGGAGGAGTGTGGCTAAAGAGGCCAACATGCAGGAAGTTGGGAAGGAGGATGAAGAGGTGGCAGCAGCAGGCGCTGACTCCGAGGGTCCTGTGGCAATGGGTGGGCTGGCTGGCTTCAGTGGGGAAGGCACCTCAGCACTTGCAGCTCCAGCTGGGTCTGTGAGGGCTGCTGGGCTTGGGGAGCTCTGCATCTTCTCCACACTGTCCAGCAGGGGCTTGGCACCGGAAGCCAGAGGAGCAGCTGGTGAGGAGAAAGGAGTCTCTGGGGATGGTCAAGTGAAAGAAAGAGGTTGAGAGGGAGTAGAAAAGAGAATTGCACATGTACTTGCAGATTTCTATTATATAGAGTTCATTTTTCTTTAAAAAAAAAAATCTTTCAGTCACCATGTTTTCTTTCCTTTTCTTTGACCCCACCCCCCACCCTACCTCTTCCCAAATGTTTCTATAGTCTACAGATATCCCCACCGAACTCTCAAATACTTCAAGAGAAAGTGACATTCTTATGTCCTTCCTCCCAGCAATGAGACAGGGATCTGCTAGGAAAGAATCTTGTAAATCTTATCATATGCAGTCACCTCTTGGGTGTTTTTGCCTGTTTTTGTTACAAGGGAGGGTTCAATTTTGAAGGATTGGGGAAAAAAAGGGAAAGGATATTTCCAGAAATTACTGTGATGTAAGAACAAAAGGCAGAAATAAAATGTATCTAAAAGTGAGTATTTTCTTCCCAGAACCCAAACATGAAACCATATGAAACTAAAGTTTAAATAAAAGGTCATTGAAGGACCTGGGTTAGAATAGCCACTCTGCTGCTTACTATCTATGTCCTCGGACAAGTTACTAAATTTCTCTGGCCTTGTTTCCTTGTTTGTATAATTAGAGGGTTGAACTGGATGATTACCCAGTATCTATTGGTCAAGGCAAAATCCTTTTCACTTCCTCAGTGGCTGTCTACTGCATAGAGATGGCAAAAACAAATAAACAAACAAAAACCCAATTGCCTTTTGTTCTTCCATGTTTACTTACTCTCATCTGTAATCCCACTTTTCTCCTGCTGCTGCCTCTGTGGCTTGGGTTCTGGTATGTCGCCTTCTGAGAGATGAAAACAGAATCATGAGCATCTTACTGGTAGCACCTACCAACAGGCTTTTCTTCAGCAAAAAGCATTGCTACGGGCATAACCTTAGGAGGAATTACTTATTGGGCATCTGATAATCTCTATTGGGATATGTTGATCCAAAGAAAGATGAAGGTTTTCCAGAATCATCTATTCCAACAGAGTTTGGGATCAGTACACACAACTGAGCTTCAAACAAACACATCAGCCACTTTGCAAACTCCCCAAGATGAGGCAAAGCCCCACCCCCAACCCCATCTATTCTCAGCCTGCTTTTTCTTAGTCTCATTGAGCAAGATTCTTTCCAGCCCAACCAAACTACCTGTTATCTCCTAGAAACATCCTATCATTTCTTACCTCTGTACTTGTACTCACAACATTTACTATACCTATCATACTCTTCTCCCATGTCTGTGACAACTGAAATCTTGCCCATCCTCTAAGACCCCAAGACAAATGCACCTCCCGCACAAAGCTGGAGCTAGCTCTCTGAGACCCCTTTCAGCTCTAAAATTCTTTTTCTACAAGGCTTCACTGATTTCCTCCAAGAGAGACCTCATCTCTTGGCCTTCTTGGTTCTACCAGTGCCATGACTTCACGCTAGTGCCTTCCCTCTGATGATTCTCTCATATATATCATGATATCTTGCACATATCTGCTTTGTTCCTAGTTGTTTGTGTGTTGGTTTCCATTAAAGTCTGAGCTCCTTGAAAACAGGAACTGTTTTTTGCCTTTCTGTATATACTCAGCACTTAGCACAGTGCCTGGCACACAGCAGATGCTTAATAAATGCTTATTGAGCATGTCTGCACCACTCTTGAGCACTTAACCCAACCTGTTTTATATACCAGTTGTCTGTATTAGACTCTAAGCCACAGAATGATTGTGCCTATACTTGTCTGTCCTTGTAATCCCCCTGAGCATCTAGCATATGCCTTGAATATAAGCAGATGCCTAACAAATGCTTAATAAATTAATTAAGACATACCGGGGGTATGGGGAGAATTTGGATATTTGAAATTAATGGCTGACTTAAACACCTCATTTTGGTCAATACTTTCCAGTGGCCTCTCCACCCAATCAAGTACAATTTCAGGGAGGAAGGTAGTTAGCAGACCAAACTGGAGTTTCTTCTTTTCTGGCCCACACCATCTTTTAGTAGCAAGGCTAATGAGCAAAATGATATGGCTAGGAGGTACTGACAGATCAAACATAGAGAAGTTATGACTTGGATCAAATGTAAAATTCCCTTAAAGTTGATTTAAGTGGCCATAAACTAATCAGTCAACTTCTGCTAGGACATGACTGGGTGGTGGCAAAGACTGCTATATAAAAAAGAAATAACCAAATAATGATGAAAACCACTCAGCTAAATCCAGAAAAGAGATCAGGAGTGGGGCTATCAATCAACCATCAAGCACTTCTTATTCACCTGGCATCAAGGATACAGATACATTAGTGTAACTGTGCTTGGCTTGTTCTCCATGGAGCTGATACTCTATCAAGAGAAAGACAATGCAAACATAAGTAGAAATAAAGTCTATACAATGTAAATAAGTAAAAGATTGAGGAAGAATCAGAGAGTAATAGAAGGTAGTGATTCCTTGCAATTAATCCTGTATAAGATGATAGAGTGGAGCTACCAAAGCTACCAGATGAGATATTTAGTAAGGGTCATAGAAGAAGTGACAAGTAATAGTAATTGTAGTAATAGTAGGTGAATCCCCGATTCGGGGCATGGAGGCAGCTACTTATCAACCTGGTAACAAGAAAAGAGAGGGTGGTTGTCCTCCCTAAACATATACTAAAGACCTACCAGAGAGCCTCCCAAGACTTACCAAAACAGATGACAACTTCTGGAAATTAATGTGGGCACAAATGGTGCCATGGGAAGATGTGTAGCAGAGTGGATAGAGCACTACACCTGGAGTCAAGAGGACCTGAGTTCAAATCTGGCCGCAGATAAATAGTAACTGTGTGACCCTGGACAAGTCACTCACTTAATGCTGTTAGTCTCAGTTTCCTCATCTATGAAATGAGCTGGAGAAGGAAATGCAAGCCACTCCAGTATCTTTGCCAAGAAAACCCCAAATGGGGTCACAGAGTCAGACAGGACTGAAAAATGACCAAACAACCTAGAATCCTCATGAAACTTTACACAAAGATAATACAGAGCTAGGTGGAATCACTAAGATAGTGAATGATAGAATTGGGATTCAAATACATCTGGACTGCCTAGAATATTGGGCTGAATCTGATAAAATGAAATTCAACTCAGATAAATGTAAAGTCCCTACACTTGGATCACAAAATAAATTAACTTTACAATTCAAAATGGGAGAGGCATAGTTAGACAGCAGTTATTTTTTTTCCTGCTTTTTTTTTGGTGAGGCAATTGGGGTTAAGTGACTTGCCCAGGATCACACAGCTAGTAAGTGTCAAATGTCTGAGGCTGGATTTGAACTCAGGTCCTCCTGACTCCAAGGCCAGAGCTCTATCCACTGAGCCACCTAGCTGCCTCAACAGCAGTTATTCTTTAAAATATCTGAGGATTTTAGTGGATCAGAAGCTTAATATGAGTCAGCAGCGGGATTGACGTGGGAGACAAAAAAACCCCCAAAAAACAAAAAACAAAAAAACTAATGTAATCCTGGGCTCCATTAGAAGAATGGTTTCTAGGAATAAGGACATGATAGGGCCACTGTTCAATTCCCTAGTCCTACTTCATCTGGAATACTGTGTTTAGTCCTTGTTGCCGCAGTTTAAGAAGAACATTGGTAAGCTAGAGAGAGTCCAGAGGAGGGGAACCAGAATAATGAAGGGCCTTGAATCCATTTCTTAGGAGGATCAGTTCAGGGTATTGGTAATATTTAGTATGGAGAAGACTCAGGGAGAACATGATAGCTGTCTTCCAGCATCTGAAGAGCTGTCACATGGAGGAAGGATTTGTTGTTTTATTCTTGTTCAGTCGTTTCCATCTCATTTGGAGGGTTTTCTTGGCAAAGATGCTAAAGTGGTTTGTCATTTCCTCCTTCGGTTTATTTTACAGATGAGGAAACTGAGACAAACAGGGTTAAGTGACTTGCCCAGGGTCACATAGCTAGGAAGTGTCTGAGGCCTGATTTGAACTTGGGGAGATGAGTCTTCCTGACTCCAGACTGGGCACTCTAGCCACTGCACCACCTAGTTGGGATTAGACTTACTATATTTGTCCTTAGAGGGAAGCATCAGAAGAAATGGTTGGAAACTGCAAAGAGGCAAATTCAGGTGTGATGGCAAGAGAAACTTCACAATAATTAGAGCTGTCCAAAAGTGGAATGGGCTGCCTTGAGAGCTCATGGGTTGTCCCCTCTTTGGAGGTCTTGAAGTAAAGATTAGCTGACAACTTGTTGGGGATTTTATAGTAGGGTATGGCAAATAAAATTAATAAAGATAGGCTGAGGACCTAGATCTGAGCAAAATCAGTTTATGAACAGTGATGTGTACAACTGTTAATAAAGTGGGTCTGACTGGCAACCTCAGTGAGAAGGAGGGGAACCTCTTTATGATGCACAACAAAGAAAGGGTTTTGATAGGCATGGAGAAAAAGTGAGGTTGTAGGGTTGAGGCAGGAACATCACAATTGGCTAAATTGAGAAAGGTGGGCTGGCATTCACATGAGGCTAATCACCGCTCCTCTCTGACAACTAAGGAATGTTCACTATTCAATGGGACCCATTTGCATCTTGAAATCTTTGCTAGGGGATCAAAACTACCAGATTTGCAGTCTCCTTGGAAAAGGGAAAAACTCCCCTAATTGCACAAGGACATCCAAAGACTGAAGACATATCTTTTCAGGATGGTGCCAAGTTAACTTGTGGGGCATGACTATAACAAACAGATGTCATGGAAGTATCCTAGGGGCTACCAGTATGAGAGAAAACAACTTTTCTTTTAATTATAACTTTAACTCAAACTACAACTCAAGGACATAGAAAGGTAACTTCAGGCAGATATAGATCCAATTACAATATAAAATCTATATATTATAGAATCAAAGTGGTATTAATTTTAATTTTCATCAGAGGATTTTTTTAATGTATGGGTTAGTGTAGACAGCCACCAGGGGTACCCCAGCTCAAAAATTCTGTGATTCTTTAAAATACAAGGTAATTGAGGAGAGAGGAAGGGGAATGTTAATTAAGAAGGGACTAATGCAGAAGGTGTAGAAGATATTTCAACTGAGCTTTGAAGGAAGACTGGGATTCTAGGAGTTGGAGATGAGGAGAGAATATATTCCAGACATGGGGGACAGTCTATGCAAAGAGAGTTGAGAGTTTGGAGAAGGCCAGTTCTTCATGCAGAGCATGAGAAAGGGAACAACGTGTAATAAAGGTAGAAAAGTAGAGTGGAACCTGGCTGTTGGCTTTAAATAGCATGCACAGACAACGGAAGAGATAAGGGTTTTGAAAAGGTATCAACTCTCATTTCCTTCCTCAACTTGTCCAATATGGAGAGGACATTTCACTTTTCCTAAACTACTCACCATAACCCCCAACTACCACCACCCTACCATCCAGAATAGAATTTTTGTCCCAAATATAAAGACTATTAATTCTGCGGCTACTAAGGAATGATGACAGGGATAGATCAGAGAAATTTTGGAAGATCCATATAAACTGATGCAGAGTGAAGAGGGCAGAACTAAGAGAACAATTTTTATAATAACAACATTAATATAAAAAAAACTTAGGGACTCTGATCAATGCAATAATCAATCATGGTTCCAGAAGACTGATAAGGAAGCATGTTACCTACTTGCTGACAGAAAAATAAGGGACTGAGAATGAAGTGTAAGACATAACATTTTCAGACATAGTCAATGTGAGAATTTGATTTGTTTGACCACGTATCAATGTCACCAGGACTTTTCTTTTTTTATCCCCAATAAGGATTAGAAAGAAGAAGAAGGGAATAGGGATAGGGTGCCAAAAGAAAAAAAAAAGAAAAAAAGAGTCATTTAGTATTTTTTTTCAATGCAGAGAAGAAAACAGAAGGAAGGCCAGAGAAAGCCACAGATAAGCAAGACAGTTTTGAAAGTTACATAGCAAATTTATTATATATTTAAAAAGAAAAATAAGTTATATAAAATAAAAGTTTGCAGTTAAATGGATAAATATTTTTCTGTCCTATTATGAATATGGAAATCTCAGCTGAATTTGGTGTTTAAGATCAAAATAATTTTTTTAAAGGTAATTACCTGAGATAGTTGCTTCCTCTGTTTTCTTCTCTTGAAGGAAGTTTATTGTATTTTTTAAAGCCTCTTTAAGGGAGACGGCTTTTTGAAAAACGCTGTGGATCATCTCTAGGTTTAATTCATTCTTTGGTACATTCACAGCCTTGGTGACAAGATTCGAGGCTTTCTAAAACAAGGCAGGTGGTTAGCCCAGGAAAAATACACAAGGTTAAGCTTCAGAGAATCACAAAAGGGACTTTGATTAAGGATCACCTAGCCCAGCCCCCTCACTGAACATTTCTGGACCTGTTTTCCCTTCCGAAAATGAGGGGTATGCACCGAAACTTCTCAAAGGCTCCCTTCAAGTCATGCAATTTTGCAGCCTAGAAGTCATGTTTGTTGCATGCCTCTCCTTGCTCCCTGCCCTATTTGCAAAAGATTGCTGCACCTAGCCCTCCACAATCTCTCACGTGCAACCTCTCTCCTCCTCCACAGCCACATCACTTCAGTCCTTCAACACTTCTTAGCAGGACTTTTATAATGGCTTCCTAATAGGTTGCTTCGCTTTCAATCATTCCTCTCTCCAAACCACCCTTCATAATACTCTTCCAGTGGTATAGGCCTGACCATATTACTTCCCTGCTCAAAACCCTTCAGTGGCTACCTATTGCTTATAAACTCCCTAACCTGCCTTTGAAAGTCCTAAATAATCTGGCTCCAACCTACTTTTCCAGACTTATCTCAAACTATTCTCCTTCATTAATAACTCTTTGTGTTCAAGTATAGCTGTTCCTGACCTTGACATTTCATCTCCTGCCTCCTCCATGTTTTTATGAATGACTAGCTCTCATGCTTGGCATGGACTCCCTCCCAAGATTCCACCTACAGGAAAATGTTTAAAGCAACCCTTCTTCATTATAGCAGGAACAAAGTGGATATTCAGTAGTTGGGGCATGAGTAAAATGTCATGTATGAATGAAATGGAACTATGAATGAGCTGTATGAAATGACCAATGCTTAAAGAGAAGCCCAATGAAATAAGCAGGACCATGTAAAGGAAGGGGAGGGCACTTTGTAAGATTCCAAAAGGCAGATCAAAGTAGCGATCAAAAATGACCTCTGAGGGCTGTGGGTGAAGTATGAGTCTCATCTTTCCTCCAGGAGTTACTGGACCAGAGGTGTGCAATACAGGAAGCATATTCTGATCTGGCCATTGTATTTTGCGCAATATTCTGATCTGTTACAGGGGAGGCTGTCAGTGGGAAGTGACATGGATGTAAAAGAACAGCAATAAAATATATTTCTTTTAAATGCACTCCCTCTTCCACTCTCCTCTCAGCATCCTTGACTTCCTTCAAGGCTCAGCTCAGTTGCCATGAAAGCTTCCCTGATCCCTCCATTGTCAGTCTAGTCTCCTTCCTCAGATAACCTCCAATTACACTCATTTTTTAATATATATCTTCCTCCCCCCATGCAATAGACTACCAACTCACTGAGAGCAAGCATTGTCATCTTGGTAGCCATAACCCCGACCAAATGTTTCTTGAATTGAATTTGACCAAGGATGTTGAAGCTCAGAGAAAAAAGCAAGTTGCCCAGTATCCCAGAGGTCATCCTTTCAGGTCCAGGTGACTTTGCTGTATCACAGGTGACACCTTGAACCTGAGCCAGGGGGATAAGGACAGGGACTGAGCCTGGGATTTCACAGGTATAGAGAACTCCTGCTTAAAGAAAATCTTCCACCGATACAGATCAGCACCTGCTTTGCAACTTATAGGCTTAGAGTCGCCTAGAGCCCTGAGAGGTTGACTGACTCACCCAAAGTCACATAACCAGGATGAGTTGGGGGGGGCAGAACCTGAATCCAGATCTTCCTGGCTTTGGGGTCAGCTCTCTTTCCATTGTACCACACTATCTCTCACATAATCAAACCCTCATGCACATGCATGACCTTGGCCACAAAGGGAAAGCAGGTGAAACTGCACCACTTTGGGAGACCTTCCACTTCTCCCAACTCCTAGAAAAACAACTGAAAGGAAAGATTTGGCTGAGAGTAGGCAGGGAGTTTGCTAGGGTGTGGGGAGTACAGAACCAAGTTCCATGCTAGGGAAGTGTGGGGCCTGGGACAAATCAGTCTGTGGATCTCCCTCCCCATAATGACAAGGTAGAGGGGCATGTGTGTGCAGGTGGAAGGACACTCATTTGCTGCTCCTGAGTAAAGTCCTAACACTGAGCCAGATGGGAAGGATGGTAGATGAGAATGAGGACAAACCAGGAAGATACTGAAAAGAGGGAAGAGTCCTCCAGCCACGTCATCTTCATGCAGATTTTCCCACACGTCTCCTCATAGCTCTCATTTCTGACTATCCAATAATATTCCAAATCAAAGGATTTGGACACAGATATATAATACCAAAAGCCTTTCTCCCCAATAGACCAGTGGTCAAAGGCTAGAAAGTTTTTAAAAGAAAAATTGCAGACTCTAAGTAACTACTTGACGATATGCTCCAAATCACTAAATAGTAAGAAGAATTCAAGTTAAAACAACTATGAGGCTCCATCTCACATCAAACAAATTGGAGAAAATGATTAAAAAAAACAAGACTCAGTACTGGAGGGGCTGTGGGAAGACAAGCATACTAACATGCTGTTGGTGGAGTGGTGAGAGCTTTTTGAAACTATGCCAGAAAGGTGACTGAACTATCCAAATCCTTTGACCCAGAGACCTTTGGGTAATGAGCCCAAGGAATTCAAAATCAGAAACAAAAGGCCAACATATACAAAACATTCATGGCAGCCTTTTCTCTAGTGGCAAAGAACTGAAAGCAAAAGTAAGGACTCATTGTTTGGAGAAAGGCTATACGAATGCAATGGAACAGTGATGTCCAGTAAGAAATGATAAGTGTGAATCAAGAGCACACAGAAAGTTTTGTATGACCTGATGATGAATGAAAGGAATAAAATCAGGAGCAACACATGCACATATCTACAACAATGCAAATGGAAGGAAAATTAAAAGGAAGTAGAACTCTAAGTAACTGAAAAATAATAATAATATATTATAATAGCTAGCATTTAGATACTGCTTTAAGGGTTGCAATGGGCTTTCAAAACATTATCTGATTTTATCCTCACAACAATCCTGAGGTAGGTACCATTACAATTACCATTTTACAGGTGAGGAAACTGAGACAGTGGTTAAGTGAATTGCCCAAAGTCACACAGCAAGGAAGTATCTGAAGCTGTATTTGAACTCAGGGCTTCCTGATTCTATGTCCAGAGTTCTATCTACTGTACCACCTGGTCAGGTAGAAGAGATAATATACTTATCTCCTCCGAGTAGAGTGAGAGGCAGAACACCACTAGGATAGAATGTTCTATGCATTAGCAGGGCCAGTCACTGTATTGAGTATGATTGTGTGTCATTTTTCAGTCATGTCTGATGCTTCATAACCCCACTTTGGGTTTTCTTGGCAAAGATACTGGAGTGGTTTGCCATTTCCTTCTCCAGCTTGTTTTACAGGTGACAAAACTGAGGCAAACAGGGTTAAGTGGCTTGCCCAGGGTCACACAGCTAGTAAGTGTCTTAGGCAAGATTTGAACTCAGGAAGATGAGTCTCCTGATTCCTAGAGGAATCATACAGATGAGGAACTGACACAGCTAGTGTCCGACGCCAGATTTGAATGCAGGAAGATGAGTGTTCATGGCTTAGTGCTTTATCCACTGAGCCACCTAGCTGACCTCATAGACAATCATAGACTTACAGATTTAGAGCAGAGGTTCCCAAATTTATTTGGCCTACAACCCCTTTTCAAAGAAAAAATTACTCGGTGCCCCCCTGGAAATCTACTTTCTTTAACCATTCAATGGTTTTTTGAAATTTGTGTCATTTCAAAAAAAAAAAAAATGAAATTTTTTTAAAATGATGCACCTTAAATTTAATAATTTATTGTAAATTTGTGGGATTTTCCTGTATTGAAATTTTGATGACAAACTATAACCATTTAGTATGGTATTGTAAACAAGTCCCTATGTGCACATATTCCTGCCATTGCATGCTGGACTTCTCCACAATGCACCACACACTCATCTGCCAACACTTGCTTGTTAAGACCTATCAGCAGACTTGACCACTGATTGGTTATAACTTGTATTTTGTGTGTTTATTAGGAAAGTAATGTAATCACTAAGACTTTAACTCTGTTACACAACAGATGAAACGAGTATGAATGGTTTTTCAAAATATTCTTCTCTTCGTTCCTTATGCTTCCACTGCCCCCTTATTTTTATTAAATGCCCTTCAATTGCACCCAAGGCTATCACTACCCCCTGGATCATTCTAGCACCCCCCAGGGGGTGGTATCACCCACTTTGGGAACCTATGATTTAGAGTTGAAGGGACCTCAGAGACCATCTAGTCCAACCCTATCACTCTACAGATAAGGAAACTGAGGCCCAAAGAAGTTATGTAACTTGTCCCAAATCAGAGAGGTGAGCTCAGGCCATCCTTGAACCCAGGCCATCCTCCTGCTTCACTCATCTTTCCACTACGCAACACTACCAAGATAGTAGGTGTCTCAATTTAAAAACATAAATAAATAAGAGCTGCATCTTTCAAACAGGGTTAAGTGACTTGCCCAGGGTCACAAAGCTAGTAAGTGTCTGGTGCCAGATTTGAATTCAGGAAGATGAGTCTTCCTGATTCCACACCTAGAATCTATGCACTATGGCACTTCCTAGCTGCTCCTAATAGATCCATTTACTAACTGGTTTTTCTTTGTCACAAAGGAGGGTTTACTCTGGAGAAATGGAGGGGGTATTGAAATGATAATGGCATAAACATAAGATGCATCAGTAAAACTTTTTTTTGAAAGGCAGGTTCAGTGTTCTCATATACCTTTAGCACCCTATAATGGCTAGGGAGGCAGTGAGGTACAACAAGGAAACAGACATTTAATGCCAGGCACTATGATTGGGAATACAAATACAAGAAAAAAGACAGTTCCTACCCTAGAGGAGTTTACATTACAATGGGAAAAGACAACACATATAAGAAAATGTCCAGAGAGCTGGCCTTCCCCTGATACATACTTCTCAGTGTAACTCTCTGCAGCTTAATTATTAATTTAATTAATTAAATACTACATTGTGTATTTCCACATTGGGAGTTCCCTGCTCTGATGAAATTACAGATCCAGAACAACAACAGTGACACTCCTGAAAGGGGGGAATCAGGGGAAATGGTTGGCTGTTTCCATTCAATACAGCCCTTGTGAATTGACTCAATGAGGACTCACCTCCAAAAAGGCAATCTCATCACTTTTTGTGAGCAAAAGTTCAATCTCTTCTTTCATAGACTCAATTTCCCCCTTTTTCTTGAGCAGGACCTGATGCATATGGTCATATTTGTCCAAAACTCTCTTTTCTTCCTCTTTCAGCTTCCTCAGAGAACTCTTCTCCTCTGATTCGATGAGGGCTTTCATTTCTTCATATTCATGTTTCAACAAGTCCATCTTTCTAGCTGCTGTATCCTAAGGGATCCGAAGAAAGATTTTAATTTGGAGTGGCTTTAAATAAGATGGGACAGTCCCAGTGCTTTTACAGAGCTTTTTCCCTATCCCATCACCGTCATTTCACCGGAGGAGTGCTAGATAACCTAACATAAGCAAAGGGCTACATCTGCCCTCTGATTGCAAATGGAATCTAGGTCCCTCTAATCCTGGATGTGAACCTTTCGGCAAGCCCCCCAATTTGTCAACATCTCTACTTAGCAGTCAGAGGGGGAACTGGGTCCAAGGTTACCTTTTAAATCAGTGATTGAAATGATTGCCTATATGACATGTAACTAGGATTTCCAAGCTCAACTTTGATTCTTAGCTCTCAAGGAAGGTTAGAATGACTTGTAAGACCTAGAGAAGCATAGAATCTTTAGGTTCAAAAGGACCTTAGATGTCATCAAATCCAACCTTCCCCACTCTACAACAATCTCCAAAAATTGGTCTTTGGGACTTTGTTGGAACACACCCAGGGATGGGAAACTTAATGCTTCACAAAGCAACCAGTTGCATTGAGAGATGACTTTAATTGGTGCAAAGTTCTTATTAGTGGACTGGAATGACAGGGAGCTGAATTATGCCTCTTCTAATCACTAGTTCTGCCCTCCCCTTGTAAACAGAATCAATCTAATCCATCTTCCCCATGGGAGACCTCCAAATATTTGAAAATCTTAATCTTCAAATTAGTCAGAAGGTTTCAGGCATGGGTCTCTCTAATTCTAGAAGGGTGCTGCTGGGCAGGTCTTCAATTTGTCAATATCTCCATTAAAATGGGACAGCTGGGAGTCAGGGAGATAAGTCATCTAAGCCTGGATGACTGGTAAAGGTGTTGACTATTTACCTGGACTGCACGTTGTTTCAACTTTACATCTCTCAAGGCACTTGAAGCCATATTGATATGATCATATATGATTGTCAGCTTCTGCTTCATCTTGGACTGCAATTAAAAACAAGAGTGAGAGAAATTCAAGTGATTGACTGGCAGTGGCCCTCAGCCCAAAATCCATGATGCTCCCAGAAGCTGCCAGGTCCCCATGCTATATCCCAAACACTCTACATTTGTAAAGAACTAATTTTCCATGCCAATCCTCTTTTTCTGTTCTTCTACTTATATAGAAATGACCATTTTAGTTGTTTTTTTCTAAATTCAAAATACAAAATTAATAATTTTTAAAAACCAGCAAAAAATTAATTTTAAAAAGAATTCATCTCTCATTTTAAGTGACTCATTTTCATCTCCCAAACAATCTTGTGATATAGGTATGGATTACCTCTCTCATTTTATGTATGAAGAAACATACTCAGAATTCCTAACTTGCTGTAAGACCTTGGACAGGTCATTTCAATTTTCTGGGTCTCAGTAGTCTCTCTTGCACAATGGGGAAATTTAGATTTAATTAGACCTAATAAGGTGTTTTTAACTTAGAGTCTGTGAACTTATTCTTTTAATAGTCTAGTAACTATATTTCTCTATAATTGGTTTCTTTAATGATCCTATCTATTATATTTTATCTTATACATTAAAAAACATTATTCTGAGAAGGGGTACATAGGCTTATACATGGGCTATATACAACAAAAGGTTAAGATTCTTCCAACTCCAAGATATCTAGGGTTACTTTCAGCTCTCACATTCTTACTGGTCAAGGTACATTCTTACTGGTCAAGGTACAAGGTCACATAGCAAGTTCATGGAAAACCTGATTTCAAACTCAGATTGTGGACATAGAAATGGGGATGGGAGAAGAGGTCAGTCTTTTGACAATAAGGTTGCATATGACCTCTTAGGTGCCCAGGAAATAACTTCATTTCCTCTGTTTGATTGGCAATGTCAACCCCCTTAACTCAGTCCAGAATCCAGAGCCAGACCTTAAAGCCAAATTTGACATGATAACAGCAGGGAGATGAAGTTACTCTGAAAGCACAGGTCACTGAGAAGTGTCCTGTTTAAAGCCCCAATTATAGGAGGTGCCCTATTAGATTAAAAAAAAAAAAACCTGTCTCTTGGGTAAAGCCCCAGCCCCAAAGAGGAAATCACAGAACCACAGAGCTAGAAGGGAACTCAGAGGCCATGTGGTCAGGGACTTGAGAAGACAGAATGTTGGACACAGAGGTGGTCTGCTACTAACTTGCTCTGTTACCTTGGACACATCACAGTTAGAATATTAGAGCTGGAAGCAACTTTAGAGAACATCGAATCTCCTTTATTTTACAGATTACTTTTTTTGTCTGTGTTTTCTTTGGCAGCATGACCTACATATGTCTAATCTACATCAAATAGCCTGCCTTCTCAAGGAGAGGGGAAGGAAGAAAGGAAGGGAGAGAATTTGGAATTCAAAATTTTTAAACGCAATGACTTTTTGCAGTGGCAAAGAATTGGAAATTGAGGGGATGCCCATCAATTGGGAAATGGCTGAACAAGTTGTGGTATATGGTATAATGGAATGTTACTGTGTTGTAAGACATGATGAGCAGGCTGATTTCAGAAAAACCTGTTAAGACTTGTATGAATTGATGCAAAGTGAATTGAGCAGAACCAGGAGAACACTGTACACAGTAATAGCAATACTGTACAATGATCAGCTATGAATGAGTTGGTTATTTTCAGCAATACAATGATCCAAGACAATTCCAAAGGACTCGTGATGAAAAATGTTATTCACCTGCAGAGAAAGAACTGATTGATTCTAAATGCAGATGCAAGCATACTATTTTTCACTTTTCTGTATTTTTTGTGTTTTTTTTTTCCCCTTTGGGTCTGTGTCTTCTTTCACAACATGACTAATACAGTAATATGTTTTGCAGGACTGAACATGTATAACCTACATCAAATTGCTTACCAACTCAGGGAAGAGGGAGGTGAGGAAGGAAGAGAGAAAATTAGGAACTCAATTTAAAAAAAAACAACAAATGTTAAAAACTATCTTTACGTATAACTGGGAGAAAAATAAAATATTATTTTTTTAAAATGCAGTCACCAAAAATCTCCTCAAAACCCCAAGAAGATTCAGATTAAGGAAAAAGGAATGTGTGTGGAGGAACCAATTTTCATCACTAAAAAGAAAAAGGTATGCTTTGCATGATTTCACAAGTATAATGAGTATTGTTGCATGCCTTCTCAATGGGTTTCAAAGAGGCTGGAAGGAGGAAGAGATTTTAGAACTAAAAATTTTAAAAATGAATGTGAAAAGAGTAAAATATTTTTGAAAAGAAAAAAGGGAGAGAAGATGGTGACGAGTTCATAATTCTCAAAGAATGTTTACAAAAATGCCTTGGGCTTCAAAGACCTAATCATCCTTCAACTCAAGAATTTATTAGATCCCTACTACTATATATATCCTAGGAGGTTCACATACAAAGAAAAACAACAAAAAAAGAGTTCCTGCTGTCAAGGAGCATATATTTTTACCGGAAGATACAACAGATAATGTAAAAAAAAAGAGAGAGAGAGAGAAACTTTAAGGCATTTTTTGGCCCGGTAGAAAGAGAAAAGAGACACAGAGAGACAGAGAGATAGAGGAAGAGACAGAGAGACAGAAACAAAGTGTGAGACAGAGAGGTAGAAACAGAAAGACAGAGAGACTGACAGTAGGACTGGTGGACCCTGTATTTCTGATCATAGGATTTAGAGCTGGAAGGAGCCTTAGAGATCACCTAAGCTAACCCCCTCATTTTACAAGTGAGAAAATTGAAAGCAACAGGAGAAAGAGCTTTGGCTTCGAAGTAAGAGGTTCTGGGTTCAAATCCCTCCTCAAACATTTACTACTTGTGTCACCCTGGTCAAGTACTTTGACCTCAGTTCCTGATCTGCTAAGATCTATGACCCTCTCATCCCAGCTTCATGATTTTAGGGCAGTCACTTCAATCAGGGTCTCAAGGAAACTGAAAGAAGACCTTTTCGTCATTCCCCCATCATACGTTTTAAAATAATTTTGGGGCCTTCGATTTCCCAGATTTCCCGAGTTTAGCAATACTGCCTCATAGATAGGGAGGGACCTCGGGATCCACCCAGCACCTCTCTGAGAGAATTCTGGAGAAGGAATCTCCCTCGATCAAAGCAAAACAGCATGAACTCTGTAATTTATAAGTTACCTGGGGCAGTGAGGGGGTTAAGAGACTTGCCCAGGGTCATACGGCCACTATATAGGAGGCAGGGCTTGAACCCCAAAGAACTACTCTGCAAGCAAGCCCTCTCGCTTTGACTGTCGCTTTTCCTCCTAACAAGTCTGGGTACGGGACAGGATTACTTCGCATCTTTCTACAGACCAAGAAATTAACAGGCTCACATAGAAAAGGGACCCAAACACCTTTGCCCAGCCTGGCGTCTACAGAGAATAGGTGCCCCGAGATTCTTGAGCCTCTCTCGCCCACATTCACAAGCCCCCTAACCTGTTTCTTGGCTCAACTACAGGGTCTTCCCCTTGAAAGTCCGAAACTCCAGGGAAGAGAAACTAATCCTGGCATGGGGAAATTGAAGCTAAGCCGGGCATTGCTACCAGCTTCCCGCAAGGGCCTGAAGCTGGAGCCCGGGGTCAGGCTTCCACGGAGCCGCTACTCAGCCCAGGACCTCCCCCGCCGTGCCTGTCCCCCCTCCCCCTCTGCCCACCTTCAGCTCGGTCCTGGCCACGTCCAGGGCCACCGGGGAGCAGGTCTTGTGCCCCACCAGGCAGATGCAGCAGATGCTGACGCCGTGCTGAGAGCAGAAGAACTCCCGCAAGCGGCCGTGCTCAGGGCACTTGCGACGGGCCAGGTCCCCGACGGGCGATTGCAGCTCGTGGCCGTGGAACGTGGGGTTGTCCAGATGCGGACGCAGGTGCTCCTGGCAGAAGGACGCCATGCAGGTGAAGCACGTCTTGGCCGCAGGAGTCTGTAAGCAGTAGTCACAGGCCACGATCCCAACCGCCTCATCCTTCTCCTGATCCCCCTTCCTCGACTGCGGGTCCAAGGGCTCGCCATCTTGGGACGCACTGTGGGACTGCCCCAAATCCCAGCGGTTCTTAACTTGCTGCAGCTGCCCCACCACTGCGCACAGCACCGTGTTCTTCTTCAGCTGTGGCCTCTTCTGGAAGCGTGCTCGGCACTGGGGGCAGTAGAATTGGAAGCTCTGGCCGGTCCACGTCTTGTCCAGGCAGGGCGAGCAAAAGTTGTGGCCGCACGGGGTAGTCACGGGCTGCTGGAAGATCTCCAGGCAGATGGAGCAGGTCAGCTCATCGGCCAGGGGCTGCAGCTCGGCCATCGAGATCCTCTCCAGACGCCTTCAAGGAAGAAAACAGTTTCAGGATGGCTCCAGAGGAGAGGGAAAGGAAACGAGCTGGGGGGGGGGGGAACCCGAGAGTTAGGGGAAATCACGGGGGGGGGGCGGGGGGAGAAGAGGTGGAATGGACTCTGCCTTTTATACACAAGTAGGCCAGAAAGAGTTTTATTTCATTTAACATTCTATATCCAAGCCAACAAATATTTATTAAACACCTACTATGTGCCAGACGATATTCTATGAAAAACGATTATTAATTACCTATGTCTTGGTTATGTAGAGCTCCTCCCTCCCCCCTCCCCCCAATAAAAAAGTACTGACTTTAAGTCCAGTTTTAACTGGTGCGTCACTGATAATGAGATTGAACTGACTCTCTTCTTCCTGGTCTGCTCCTCCCAAGCTGGCAAGTAATTTAATCTAAAATGGGGAAGCCCCATGGTGTTTTACTCTAGTTTAGGTGGAGATAGATTCTTTTGTCCAGATAGCCCAAGGTTGGGAGTGGTCTGGTATGGCTAGGAGTTTTCTGATATAGAGATATTTCAATCTGGGTGAAATAATGATTGAGTGACATCAGTCCCTGTTGAAAAGGTATATAAACCCTGCACCTTAACCTCAAAGAGCAGGTTCCAAACTGGCTCCCAAGCATGGATGCATGCATGCATCTGGCTTTGAGAGAAATAAACATTGATACAAACTAATTCCGTTTGCTTTTCTTAGACTGAACTCTGAAGGTTGACATACTAAACACTAGGGATACAGAAAAGCAAAAATAAAAATAAAAACTCACAAAATCAATAATCCATGTCCTTGAAGAGAGTACATTCTAATGCAAACTATATGTGCATATGTACATGTACACACTGTATAGAAATATATACATATATATGTATGTGTATACATATATTTTTACATGCGTATATGTATATATCTAATTGTAAAGAGAAATCGCTAATATTAAGGGGGAGTGGTAAAGGCTTCTTGCAGAAGGTAGGACTTGAATTTAAGGAAGACAAGAAGATGGAATGAGGAGAGAAAATATTCCAGGCATGGAGGGAGAACCAATGAAAATGCAGAGTCCAAAGATGGAGCATCTCCTGCAAGGGGCATCCAGGAGGCTTGTGTCACTAGATTGAACAGTACTCTGAGGGGAGTAAATGTCAGGAGACTGGAGAAACAGATGGGGCCACATTATGAAGGACTTTAAGCCATTTGTACCTTGGAGAGAGAGCTGTGTAAATTGGCATAGCCTCTGACACATCTGTCGACCACAAGACAACATGACGTAGAATTTATAGGAATCTTGAATAAGGAGAAGATCACAATATGTTAAAACACAGTTTGGGGTTAACTTTCCAGAATAGTCACTACTCAGTTCCTTCTTGGATCATTCCTTTCAAGGAAAAAGGTTACTTCCTGCTTCCTCCCCCTCTCCCTCCTAGCCTCCATTAATACTTTAATCATGAATGGAAAAGGGGGCACTGCCCTTAGGAGTAGGCTATTCACTTCAGGCCAGTGGTGATGCTAGGTTCTTATCTCAACCTGGGTTAAATTTAGCTCTCACTCTTAATCCAGTTCTCTAGGAAAGACCTTAACCTTTGTTCTATGCACTTTCTTAAAGGGAAAAGTCTGGAAGAGTCTTAGGCTGGAGAAATATTATTTCTTAATATTTCCCTTGAACTAAAGAGGGAGGCTTTTAATATGCTTTCATAGGCTGGAGGAAGAGCCATTGGGACAACATCTCCCCAGCATACAATACCAACCCGAAGGGCAGAGACCCATCTACCCGGTGGGAGACTAAGGAAGAGAAGAGATGGCCTCACTCAGTTGTTCTGTCAGTTGCTTCAAAGTGGAGTCTGGACACCCCGACCAATCCCTGACAGTCTTTTCACCCTGGGCCAGCAGAGCCTTTCCTACTCTTGTAATCTTTTGTCATCCCCAGCCTCCTCCCCAATTACTCAGGTTACTCCTGTGATTTAGAGCTGGAGGTGTACTTAGAATAAACCATCTCATCCAGATTCCTCATTTTACCAAGAGGAATCTTTGTGCCAGAGGGGTGAAGCCATTCATTCAATGGCATATAGGTTGTGTGTGGCAAATTCAGGATTAAAAGTTCCCTGACTCCAGATCCAGAACTCTTCACCGTGTAATTCAGACTTCTCCTTGCATCTAGTACTGCTGGTTTTGTTTCTAGGTAGCCCATTCAAACTGGGAAAGGGGATCTTTGCTTCAAGTCATTTTTCATCCTTTTCTTATGTCCTTTCCTAGGCATATGGATGCAGAAATCTATCCAAGAAAGGACATCTTCCCTGCCCTGATGGAATAGGAGGCAGCTAGCTATGTTACAGTGGAGAGAACACTAGCTTGGGCATCAGGGGGATGTGATTTCAGATCACCTCCAACCCTCTCTGATACTGTGAAGTGGCTAATCTGAGCCTCCATTTCCTAAATATCTCTAAAATAATCTAAAAAAAATCTAAATAAATCTCTAAAATAAAGGATTAGGCTAGGTCCATTCCAGGTCTGGATTCATGATCCTGTTGTCTATATGGGGGAATGGATTGCTGACATAGAGAATTACTTGGTGAGGAAACTCCCTCTACCATTGTAAGGCAGTCCATTCTCTGCTATTTATAGTGTCAAGTCAACAAGTATTTATTAAATACCTGCTATACCCTGGGGATACAGAGAAACAGGGGAAGAAGTGTCACCTAGAACACTAACAGATGAAGTGACTTGCCCAGGGTGTCATAGCTAATATGTGTCAGAGCTAGGACTTGAACCCAGATCTTCCTTGGTGTGGAGGCTGGCCCTCTAACCACAAAGCCACACTGCTTCTATGGTGTATGTATGTATGTATGTATGTATGTGTGTGTGTATATGTATATACATATACACACATACATATACATACACACATATATACATATGCATAAGTGTGTATATATGTATGTATATGTATGTGTGTGTGTGTATATATATGTATATTCAAAACTAAATAAGGGAATGGAAGTGGGGGGGGGAATGAGAGAGTAATGTAGGATTGAGTCAAAACTTGAAGTCCTAGATAGAATGCCCTAATACTTTTTGCTTCTACACACCCCCATCTCTCAGCCAAACTTTGGGTGAGATCCCTTTTGAGGTGGGTGATGAGGCTGACTTCTGCCCAGCAGCAATGATAGCCTTGCCTAAATCTAAATCTGCCCAGTAACAGGGGTCGCTACCTGTTAATGAGGCACACCTGCTCCCCTTTCCTGCCTGCCCTTCCTCATTTTGGTGCCGATACTCCAAGCGCTTCTGAGGGTCAAATCTCCTAGCCAACAGGTAGGCATCTCTCTCTTTCTTCCTACCTTCTCCTTCTTCTGTATCCTGAGGCTTGACCCCTCTAGGTGTCTACATTACCTGGAGCAGTGTTGTGGGTCTCTCTGACTTCTGGGCAGTCAGGTGAAATAATTCTCAGCTTTTTGAGGGGCATGCTTCTCGTTTAGCTTTCTTCTCTCATTCTCCCCCTCTTTGGGACACTGAAGAGGTGGTGATTGGCTTCAAGATCTTGGACACGGGATAGGATATTTACTCTCCCCTCAGTTGCCTTTTAAGGCATTGGGAAAAATTTGGAAAGGGGAACCTTAAGAGAGAATGTCTTATCTTTTTCTGTAAAACAGCCTGGCCACAACATAACCTAGAAGACAAAACTATTCTGCAGTTAGATTTTTTTTTTTGCCAGATGGAGGGAAAATCCTGCAAAATGTTTCTCGTGTGCCCTCAATTTGGTTCTGACCTCCCCAAATCTGAGAAGGCACCGAACCCCAAACCTGATATCCTAGATGATCCAATAATTTACAGGATTAAATTTAAATCTCCACCTACTACCTTTAAAACATCCTGTTCTTCCTATTCCAAAGCTTTTTCCCAGTTTGCCCTACCCCCCCTTACCCAGATCCTAAAGGGGCTTATCCAAGTCCCTTAGCTTCCCTCATACTCCCTCCCAACCACTGATACTAAGTCCCTCAAATATCAGACCAGGGACCTCCTTTTTAGCACTCCCAGCCCCAAGTCCCCCTCAATCTGTTCCAATACTCCCTGTAAGAGAAGTCCCTGATTTCAGAGGGTGCAACACTGGAGTTCATGTTCTTTTTTTCAATGTCTGACCTAGCCCAAATTAAGAAAGATTATGCAAGGGCCAGACAAGACCCCTGCCCTTTTTAGGAATAGGTTGGGAGAGGCTCTAAGAAAGTATACTGACTTGGATCCTGAATCTTCCTCACCAGGAGCCATAGTCTTAAGTATGTATTTTATTTCTCAATTGGCTCCAAACATCTGCCAGAAGCTTCAGAAATTAGAACAGGGCCCTCAGACTCCCTTGAAGGAGATCATGAAGGCCTTTAATAACAGGGACAAAGCACTGGTAGATGAGCAGGACGGCAGGGCTCGAGCCAGGAATTGAGAGTAAACTCAGCCCCTTGCTGCAATTTCCAAACCAGGGTGGCTTCAGGTGGTAACTGCTCCTTCTGTAAGAAAATCTGGCCACTGGTCAAGAGAATGCCCAGTGAAGGGTGATTCTAGGCAGCAGACACCCAGACCCTGCCCCCTTTGCTACCAGGAAGGTCACTGGAAGTGAGATTGTCCCCATAGCAGCATCAGAGGTCAAGCCTCAGCCCCTCAACTCCCCTCTCTCTGGGATCTTCAAGATTAAGAATGACAGGCCCCTGGGGAAAGCCAGGCTACTGCCTTCAATATCCCTATGGCTAAACCTAGGGTGAAGGTCAACGTTGTGGGTAAGATGGTTAATTTTCTCATTGACAATAAAGGACTCCCTCCTTGTTAATCCTGATGACCAATGGTATACTAATGGTTCTAGCTTTGTGGAAGGAGGGGTAAGGAGAGCTGGTTAATGCAAAAATCAGCCTACAGGGCACTATAGAATCCAATTCCCTTCCTTCAGGAACTTCTGCTCAAAAGGCTGAGCTCGTAGTGCTCACCAGACCCTTGGAATTAGGGTAAACATTTTCAGACTCCAGATATGCCTTCCATGTTTTAC